CGGGGTAGTAGGCTGCATATTCTCACCCAAAGAGATCGTGTCCTAATACTGGGAACCCATAAAGGTTACTTTATAAGGAAAAGGGTCTTTGCAGATGTGAGTAAATTTAGAATTCTGAAATGAGATTATCCTGGATTATCTGGGCGAGCCCTAAATGCCATTACAAGTGTCCTCATAAAGACATTGACTGGGTGGGGCTGGGGTGGGGGGCGGATAGATTAGATGCACATACAGAGGAGAAGGTGATGTGAAGAAAGAGGCAGAGATTGGAGTGAGGCGGTCAGAAGCCACAGAGAAGCTGGCGGCCTCCAGAAGCTAGAAGAAGCAAAGGATCCTCCCCTAGAGCTCCCACAGGGCACAGCCCTGCTGACACCTGGACTTTGGACTCCTGCCTCCAGAACTGTGAGAGAAGAGATTCCTTTTGTTTTAAGCCTCCAAGTTTATAATAATTTTGTTACAGCACTGGTAGGAAATGGATGCAATTGGTTGAAGATACAAGCGAGGTTGTGAATATTTCAAAAGCTAAGCATTTGACAGAGTAAATTATTTTCTCTTTGCTTAAAGAAAGGTCCTGACCATCACGAAAAGCATAAAGAGGCTAATGGCATATTAGCAATGAGATTTTATTTTAGGGAATTGGAAAAACCCTATATTCTGCACTTTCTTTTTAATGTCTATTTATCTATGCTGAGAAGAGAGAGATAGAGCAGAGGCAAGGGCAGAGAGAGGACAGAATCCCAGGCAGGTCCATGCTCAGCGAGGAGCCCAATGTGGGGCTCGCTCCCACAACTGTGAGATCATGACCTGAGCCAAAATCAAGAGTCAGACACTGAGCTAATTGAGCCACCTAGGTGCCTCCCACTATCCTGCTTTTATGTAAAATACAGAGTTTCAAAGAAAGTTATCCTTATTATAACCATGAGAAAATGCCAGATAAACTATAAAATTATCACTTTTATGAGATAGAGACCCGAAATTGAAGAGACGTTTGTTTTACTTCATACCATTCTTTCACCTTCCCAGAAAGCCTTCCAGAATTTTCAGTGGAGCATTTTTGTAGTGCAGGGGGTGGTTGACTCCAAGGGCATCTGATGCCCTCAATGCCCTCCAGGCCCTGGAAGAGGCAGGATTCGCCTGTGCTCAGCCTTTCACATCTTATTTTAAATTTTTTTTTTCAACGTTTATTTATTTTTGGGACAGAGAGAGACAGAGCATGAATGGGGGAGGGGCACAGAGAGAGGCAGACACAGAATCGGAAACAGGCTCCAGGCTCTGAGCCATCAGCCCAGAGCCCGACGCGGGGCTCGAACTCACGGACCGCGAGATCGTGACCTGGCTGAAGTCGGACGCTTCACCGACTGCGCCACCCAGGCGCCCCCAGCCTTTCACGTCTTAAAGCACACTGCCTCCCGTCCCTGCCAGAACTGGAAAAGACAAATGGGCTATTTGGTCTTCACAGACCAAACCTTGTTTTTCAAGTTTAACCACATGTAAAAAGCAGTTTAAAAGAAAAAGCTGGCAACCCAGGATTCTATACACAATGCAAAAAATTAGGTGAAATAGAGATTTTTTTTTTTTTCTGGACAAAAGGTAAAAAATGCCAGCAGAGGTGTTCTTCTTCAGAAAGTCCTCAAAGAATTTCACCAAGCAAAAGCAGTATGGTAGCAGATGCAAACTTAGATCTACACAGAGAAAACTGGAGATAATGGAAAAAGGTAAATATAAAAAATATTCCTATTTGTATTTTTATATATTTTTTAATGTTATATTTATTTATTTTGAGAGAGAGCAAAATGTTATATTTATTTATTTTGAGAGGGGCAGAGAGAGAGAGAGAGCGAGGGAAAGAGAGAATTCCAAGCAGGCTCCATGCTGTCAGCACAGAGCCACATGAGGGGCTTGAACTCACAAAGCATGAGATCATGACCTGAGCTGAAACCAAGAGTAGGATGCTTAACCAACTGAGCCACCCAGTCACCCCAAGATACTTCCATTTTGAATCATTCTAGAAGACATCTGAGACAAAAATAGCTACAATCATCATGGGGCTTCTAACAGGTGTAAAGGTAAAATGGGTAACAATATGGCAGAAAGGATGGAAGGGAGGGATTGTAAGGTCCTGACCCACAAATAATATAATTTAAAAGTAGGCTGTGGTAAGTAAAAATATATTTTGTAAACCCTTCTAAAAGGAAAACTGCAGTATACGCCTGTCAAAAACAGCAAGGAAGACTTTATTCGAGACTACAGCAGTAGGTGAAAGAGACTGAACTCGACTCCTTGGAACAAAGGGCAGATCTTTGAATATGGGGCTGAGCTCAGGGAAAAGTACCCGAGGACATTGAGAGAGGTCTGTCAGTGAGCTTGGGCCATGTGTGTTTGCCAGTTGTTGCTTGTTGAAGTTCGGCTCCTCCCCTCCTACAGAGACTGGGAGACAGAGGCTCTCTACCCGTCTCAAGGGTTACATTTCAAAGGGATGGCTCCCAGGTCCTTGAAAAAGACGGGTATCTCAAAGGGGCAGAGAAAAGATTTATATTTACAAGTTTTGTAAAGTAAATGCTCTTAACAAAAGGGAGGTCCAGATGCCCAGAACCAGGAAGAAACCTGTTTCATGTTTAACCAACCTGAAGGAAATGGTAAGGCCAGCTGGAAATTGGTTACCCTAGAAATCCTTCAAAGCAAGAGAGAAAAATGAATGACCTTTAACTAATAAGGCGATACTGGAGATCAAATGGGATCATAAGCAACACTCCATCCAAAAACAGGCAGAAAAAAAGGAACAAAGAAGAGATGGAATAAATAGAAAACAAGTAGTAAGATGATAGGTTTAAATCAAACCATAGCAATCATCACATGAAAAATAAGTGGTCAGTACACCCCAACTAAAACACAGACGTAATCTGATTCTATGAAAATGAAGACTGAATCAAAGAAGCCCACTTTAAAAATAAAGACACAGGGGCGCCTGGGTGGCGCAGTCGGTTGAGCGTCCGACTTCAGCCAGGTCACGATCTCGCGGTCCGTGAGTTCGAGCCCCGCGTCGGGCTCTGGGCTGATGGCTCGGAGCCTGGAGCCTGTTTCCGATTCTGTGTCTCCCTCTCTCTCTGCCCCTCCCCCATTCATGCTCTGTCTCTCTCTGTCCTAAAAATAAAAATAAACGTTGAAAAAAAAATTTTTTTTAAATAAAGACACAGAGGCGCCTGGTGGCTCAGTCGGTTAAGCGTCCGACTTCGGCTCAGGTCATGATCTCACACTTTGTGGGTTTGAGCCCCGCATGGGGCTCTGTGCTGACAGCTCAGAGCCTGCAGACTGCTTGGGATTCTGGGTCTCAATGTCTCTCTGCCCCTCCCCTGCTCACTTCACACTCTGTCTCTGTCTCTCTCGAAAATAAATAAACTTAAAAAAAAATTTTTTTAACCAAAAATAAAGGCAGAGATAGGTTAGAAAGAAAGAAAATAGAAGGATGGGAAGATATAATCAATAGAAATCTGCAGTGGAAATATTAATATCAAACAAAGAAACATCAGAACAAGGAATATTCCCATAATTAAGAAAATTATTGGGGCGCCTGGGTGGCACAGTCGGTTAAGCGTCCGACTTCAGCCAGGTCACGATCTCGCGGTCCGTGAGTTCGAGCCCCGCGTCAGGCTCTGGGCTGATGGCTCAGAGCCTGGAGCCTGTTTCCGATTCTGTGTCTCCCTCTCTCTGCCCCTCCCCCGTTCATGCTCTGTCTCTCTCTGTCCCAAAAATAAATAAATGTTGAAAAAAAAATTTAAAAAAAAAAAAAGAAAATTATTACACAATAATGAAGGAGTATCTAAAAACAGAGTTTCAAAATCCACCGAGATATATGGTGTCATATCTGCAGCACTGGTACCATATGGGAGCTTGCTAAAACTCAGGCCCCATCTGGGCCCTACTGATTGTAATCTGCCTTTATGACAAGATCCCTATGTGATCCGAGGGCAGATTAAAATCTAAGAACACGGATAGAGGGCATTATACCACATGTCTAATAAAGAATAAACACTCGGGTGTCACAACGTGTACAAAGACCAAATCATTAGGTTTCCCACCTTGAATATATACAACTTTTAATTTTCAATTACTCCCCAACAAAGCTGAAAAAAGTCAATTAAAATAGATATTCCGCCACAAACCCTCCCATGTAAATATAAATAAGATAAGAGAATTCAATAAACCCATAAGCAACTCAGTCCCGTCATTACAATCTTTTTCATTGTTTAGAAAAGAATCTTGGCTTCCTGGGTTCACAGAGGAAACAGAATTCAGCAATGTAGTTTATAATAAACGTTTGAAAGGTAGAGAATAAAAGAGAGTATTGATATGAAAAATATTCTAATACCAGTTTTTAAAGGTAGTTTTTCCATCTCAATTATCTTTAGTTATGTAATTGCTCTAAGCTGTTTGAACCACAAATAGAAGGTTCCCAACTACCTTCTTGATGAGAGTTAATAGTCTGAACTCCTTTATACTTTCAAATATGGGTTCTGGCTCCCAGCTGCTTTAAGGAGAGGCCCAGCCCCTCCCCCACATACTCTGACTTTATTAGATCCTAGTGAGGCTCTGACAGCAGTATTTCTTTGAAGGTCCCCAAATGACTTTACTGTATAGCCAGGGTAAAGAACCTTTAACAAATTAAAGTTTAAAAAAAAAAAAAAATACACAGGAGCATCTAGGTAGCTCAATCAGTTGAGCATCAGACTCTTGGTTTTGGCTCAGGTCATGATCTCATGGTTTCATGAGTTCAAGCCCCCTATCGGGCTCTGTACTGGCAGCACAGAGGCTGTTTGGGATTCTCTCTCTCTCCCTCTCTCTCTGCCCTTCCCACGCTTGCGCTGTCCCTGTCTCTCTCAAAATAAATAAGCAAAACTTTTAAAAAATAAAGCAAAATAAAAATACACAAAAGTAGTAACTCTGATTGCGATCCAATATCTGTTGTTTGTTTTTCTTCTCCCTTTTGTTGTCATTTCATATAGATGGTCACTGGTTGCTGAATGAAATAAATCATCTGTCTCATCAGTCCGGACAAGCACGAAGAAAGAGCAGCGTCGTCTGACATCCACAGTGTGAGAAGCAGCATCAGAAAGCAGCATTAAATGGCATCTTAGTATACCTACTTAGTACATTTAGGACACACTATGCAGAGAGAGACTGCAGAGGTTCCAAAGCTCTACTTTGGAAGTGACTTACAAACACACAGCAAAACAATCAAGATGAAAGAAACCCCAAGAAATCAGTTCTCTTTTAAATTGAAAACAAGCAGGAAATGGCACTGATGGACCTAAGCTGGGCTTAATGGTTTACAGTGGAAGATGGCACCCGCTGACCCTCAGGGTCACCTCCTCACAATGCCCTCAGGCCGGCTGACGGCAGCCCACCCCTCTGCTCCTTCCATGACTTGACCTGTAACAGGTAAGGGAGAGCAACTTCCCTTGGCCGAGCAGTCCTGACCTAGGCACTCTCTGGTTGTCTGTCACTATTGTCCTTCACAATAGCCTCACGTGGAAGATTCTGTATCCATTTTGCAGATGAGGAAACAACGCCTCAGAAATGCTAATCGACTCTGTCAAATGTGTCCAGCTAGTAAGTAGCAGATTCAGGGGATGAACCCATCTGTGGGCTCCAAACGCTCCTCTTTCTCTGGTCACCCTGGATCTCGCAGGCATCCACAGTGGTCCAGAAAGAGTGTGCCCAGGCAGCCAGCTATCTCAGAGAGGAAGGAGCTTTCCAGGCAGGACCTCCAGAGACTAGAGTTAGTCACACTCCTATTCCTACGGTTCCCCAGATGATGATAGCCACCACCAGGTGATTTGAGCTGGTCAAATAGACGGTAAAGGTGGGAAAACTAGAACCTTCCACTGAGTGGGGCTGGAAGTAAGGGCTTGGTATGGGCGCATGAGTTGGCGGGGGGGGGGGGGTGGGTATCAGCATCCTCACTTAGAATCTCTGACTCCTTCCCATGAATGTTTTGTTCCAGAGTAGGCTCAGAGTAGGCCCTCGTGACTAGTGTCGTGATTATGCATAAAGATGCTCATGGTTAACAGAGCCTTTAGTGAGCTGATCAGAGCCCAAATAATATCACCAAATGGAGTGATTAATGAGGCCGGAGATTCCAGGTTTACGACTATCGTCCTGGGGTGCCATTTGGTTTGGACATTCCTGAACTTCTCATTTTAGAACAAAATAATAGTAATAATAATTCTATTGAAATAGGCCAGGATAGGTTTGAACCTCCAGCTTCTGTCATGGGTGGTCTCATGGTGAGATGCAGAGTTATCCTTTTAACATGGGGTTGAATTTGAAAGACAACCTGTAATATCAATGGGCCCCACATTATAAAGATGCTTCCATAAAAACTTTGGCTGTGTTTCTGGAAGGGCAGGAGAATAGTCCAGGCCAGTGAAGCATTGCATGCAAAGGTCTCTTTAAGTCTAGATCTCTATCTAAATGCAAGTGTTCCTCCAAGGGCATCTCATCTTGTCATCAGCAGTTCAAGCTGCTGAGAGCCAAGGCTATGACTAAAGGTGACAACAAGGTGGAGGAAAGAGTCTTTATGCAGAGACACAATCTGAGGGTTTCACAACTTGGCAAAGGTTTGTCCCAGTCTACAGAAGACTGTAAACCATCTTGGGATTTACATTAGAGGCTGCAGATCCTGTGAGACCAAGATTCCCCACAAGGGCTTCCCTGAAGCAGAGACTGTGTGCCAGGGACCCTATCCCAGTAGAATCATGAGGACGTCACTGCCACAAAACACAGACCCACACCATCGGCGACAGTGTAACAAGGCTCTGTCTGGTGTCATCTTTCCCCGGAAGATCATTATAAATCATTATAAATTAGGAAGAGGCTGGCATGAAATTGTATTGCTAAAGATCTACTTAACTCCCAGATGATTCCTCATTCCCTTTTACGGTTCATCTAAAGACCCACTCATATGATATAAAAGAGGGATATCAACTTTCCTGAAATCAGCTAGTTGATTTTCATTCAGGGACAAGACATTGATTTTAGAACATTTCATATTTGTTCTATGTGCTCTACATAATACACATTTATATAAGTAATAGTATACTCCCACCTAAAAGCGAACGTGATAGTGTTAGCAGTGTTCAAAATAATTAAATGTGCAATGATTCTATACCTCCAACATCAACTTCAAAAAAAGTTGTCTCACTATTTTATCTATAAAATAGATTTATTTTAAATCCCAGGTTTATCTATAAATTTCCCTTCCTTACCTGGTATCAATATGGGGTCAAATAACGTGCTCTGTTTTTTCCACTGAAGACCGTTAGTAGACGTTTAGCCTGGGGAAAACAGCTTAGGAAAACAAACAACAAACACATAAAAATAAATTAAGTAGGCGAAAGCAAACTGGACATTCTCATTACTGATAGCTCCAAATATGTACAATTTCCTGTTTTCTAGCACAATCAAAATACCCAGAAGAAGGGGCGCCTGGGTGGTTCAGTTGGTTAAGCATCCGACTTCGGTTCAGGTCATGATCTCATGGTATGTGAGTTCGAGCTCCGCATCGGGCTCTCTGCTGTCAGCATGGAGCCCACTTCAGAACCCGTGTCCCCCTCTCTCTCTGCCCCTCCACCACTCGTGAGAGCTCTCTCTGAAAAATAAATAAAAACATTAAAAAAAAACTAGAAATGGGCGCCTGGGTGGCGCAGTCGGTGAAGCGTCCGGCTTCAGCCAGGTCACGATCTCGCGGTCCGTGAGTTCGAGCCCCGCGTCAGGCTCTGGGCTGATGGCTCGGAGCCTGGAGCCTGTTTCCGATTCTGTGTCTCCCTCTCTCTCTGCCCCTCCCCCGTTCATGCTCTGTCTCTCTCTGTCCCAAAAATAAATAAAAACGTTGAAAAAAAAATTTTTTTTAAATAAATAAAAAATAAAAAAAATAAAAAAAAACTAGAAAAAGATTTTTGTTTTCCAAGAATATGATTCAGCTTACAATGACCATCTTTTATAAAATTCCTCATTTGTACTCCTAATAAATCTTCGAGATCAGAGGTATAATGCATCAGGGGATATAAGACATGAACAATAGCAATTTATTCTGTTCCTGAGACACTGAAAACATTTTCCCTATTCACAAGAATAGCAAAAAAGTTTCACTGGGACCATGCAAATGATCACTTTTCAAATGATAAAACACTAAAATGTTTTATAAGCTCTTTTTCTATGGGTCCCCAGGGATTTGCTTTAAGTATTTGCGTAAATAACTTATAAATGGATACATCAGAGTGGACTGAGTGGAGCAAGGACAGCCTCCCCAGAGCGCGTCTTAAGCTGCACCCACTGTAAAGGGGAGTGCTCACCGTCGGCAAGAGTACAGGTGTCGCTTCATAATCCCGAACAAGTCTCCCCATTCGGTGACTTTCCAGGTCGTCTCTTGCGTGTCCTTCAGCACGTTTAATCTGTCTCCCTTCTCAAGGACTCGTGAACACCGTAGGTGACCTTCTTAAAACTGACTCCTGCACAAAGTAGTGGGGAAAGTTCAACTGGCACGCCAGGCAACTCTGTGATTACACTTGACACGAATGTTATGCCTAGTAGCCTGAGGGAAGAAGATACATGAAGAGAGATACTAACAGGAACCATAAAACCTTACCAGAGCAGGGGCAGAGCATCGTGCCACATAGCATGTCTTGGTTTCGTCCGCGTGACGCACAGCAACGAGAAATACAACATAATAGCACAATGAAACACGGTATTCGGCGTTCAAATCAAAGAAGGAACAAGGCACCCAATCTTGGCCCTGTACGCGCCCAATATAAACTCAAACCTGGAAACAACTCAGCTTGCCTACAAATCCAGAGCCCTGCGAAACTAAACGGAGTCCTATGGAAGCCACACAAGTTGGCTAACAGTGTATACACTATACTCTTGGTTTTGGGGGTAGATTCCCGTGACTCATAGCTCCTATGACTCCTATGACTCATAGCTCACATACAATACCCAGTGCTCATCCCAACAGGTGCCCTCCTCAATCCCCCTCACCCACCCTCCCCTCCCTCCCACCCCCCATCAACCCTCAGTTTGTTCTTAGTTCTTTTTTTAATTTATTTACTATTTATTATTTTTTATTTTTTCAATATATGAAGTTTATTGTCAAATTGGTTTCCATACAACACCCAGTGCTCATCCCAACAGGTGCCCTCCTCAATGCCCATCACCCACCCTCCCCTCCCTCCTACCCCCCATCAACCCTCAGTTTTTTCTCAGTTTTTAAGAGTCTCTTATGGTTTGGCTCCCTCCCTCTCTGTAACTATTTTTTCCCATTCCCTTACCCCATGGTCTTCTGTTCAGTTTCTCAAGTTCCACATATGAGTGAGAACATATGATATCTCTCTTTCTCTGACTGACTTATTTCACTTAGCACAATACCTTCCAGTTCCATCCACGTTGCTGCAAAGGACAGGATTTCATTCTTTCTCATTGCAAGTAGTATTCCATTGTATATATAAACTGCATCCACTTTATCCATTCATCAGTTGATGGACATTTAGGCTCTTTCCATAATTCGGCTATTGTTGAAAGCGCTTCTATAAACATTGGGGTACAAGCGTAAGGCACTGAAATTATAACATTAGATCGTAACACTGTTGGCATTTTGTAATAAAAACTTGAATCCAGGGGATAAAAAAGCTTTTATTATTATTATTATTATTATTATTATTTTAGAGAGAAAGAGAGAGCAGGAGGTGGGGGGAGGGGCAGAGGGAGACAGAGAGAGAATCCTAAGCAGGCTCCGTGCTCAGTGCAGAGTCTGATGAGGGGCTCTATCCCACGACCCTGAGATCACAACCTGAGCCAAAATCAAGAGTCACACACTCAACTGACTGGGCCTCCCAGGTGCCCCCAAAAAGCTAGTTTTTAAAGGCTCATTTACTAATTCATTGTCTTGATCTCCAGAATGACTGCTAATAATCACATTGTAACAATGTCCGAGGAAAAGAAACCTGACCCTCCTCCTTATCCACCATCCCACCCCACTCAGGATACTTCTTCCCACCCTCAGCTTCCTGCCCTCCCACCGAATCTCTGCATTTTAATTTCTTCTCTTCCAAATGAAAGAGTAGGATCCAACCCACAAGTGCCGTCTGGCTGGCTGCTCTGCGGTACAGCTTTTCCAGGCAGAAGAACAGAACTGGAAAAGCCCCTGGGGTGCAAACTGGCCCGGCAACATGTTCCGCTCTCGCATCGATCAGGTTCATTGTCTCAAATGTAACACAGAATTAGACTCACCATTTTAAGATACGTAAGAACATGTTCGTGGATTCGGGGTCTGAGCCAAGCTCATCTCTGATTCTAAAGCTGACCTTGAATTCTCTCCTGTTTCGTTGTGGACGTATGTGTGGATGCTCAACATCTCATGTTGGATACCACAGAGGTCAGTCAATTGAGCAGAACGCATAAACTTTGAAAATTACTACAATGAAACACTACAAAAATTACAAGCCAGAACTACAAGATTTCCTCATGTTTTCATCACCTACCGATTTGTTTATTGGTCTTCCAAAGCATTTGCCCGATCTGGAGGACCATATTGTGAATATAAGGGTACCATTCGTTTACCCGTAAGAGGCATTATTTTGATGTGTTGCCGGGGGCTACTCATCAACAGTCATCAGCTGCACAATATAATTTTTAAAAATCACCCTGAGGGGCGCCTGGGTGGCGCAGTCGGTTAAGCGTCCGACTTCAGCCAGGTCACGATCTCGCGGTCCGTGAGTTCGAGCCCCGCGTCGGGCTCTGGGCTGGTGGCGCGGAGCCTGGAGCCTGTTTCTGATTCTGTGTCTCCCTCTCTCTCTGCCCCTCCCCCGTTCATGCTCTGTCTCTCTCTGTCCCAAAAATAAATAAACGTTGAAAAAAAAAATTAAAAAAAAAAAAAATAAAATAAAATAAAAATCACCCTGAGTACTTGCTTGAGAAATGTATTTAAAATGTGAAAGTAGTTATGGACCTCACTGGGGCCAGACATGGGGAAAAAAAATGTTGCAGATTTAGGGGTGGAGAGGGGAAATAATGTCTTCAAGAGAAAACTGCTCATGTATATATATTTTATTTTTTTATCGCTACTAAAGATTCTTTTGCTGCAACAGATCTGTAAACTACATTATCAGTATACATTAACGTATCTAAATTTTTATAATTCTACACTCTGGAACAGAAGTTAGCACTGGAAAAGATATTGCTGACACTGTGCATTTTGTCTACACTGGGGAATCCTGCAAGCTACTTCACTATAACATTTGTGGTTTTCTCGTCCTGTCTCCTAATGTTGAATTCTTTACAAGACTTTTCCATCACAAATAGCATTTAACACCAAGAAGTCCTTTGCACTCCAGTGACTTAGAAACACGATTTCCATCAGTCACTACTCTGTGGCTGGCAGCAGTCAAACAAGGCTTGAAATTTCATTAAGAGAGCGGCCCTCCTCAGCTCTCCCCTCCAGGCTGGGTTTTCTGTCATCCTCCCTTCCGGCACTGTGCTCATCTCCTCTCGTTAGGGAGCAAGAGAGGAGTCCCCAGCACTTGCAGGTCTGAGATGTTCTCCCCCTTCTGCAGATCTAAGTTTAGATGTCACCTCCCCAGAGCTGCCCTTTCTCGTGGCCCCATCAAATTAGGTCTCTGCAGGGAAAGAGCATCCGTGGTAGAGAGGCGGCTCAAGAATGCCCGGGCTGTGGCTTTGCCGTGTCCCCTGATGGGGACGTGGCCTCATTGATGTTGAATTGGTTCCACGCTTGCCAACATTTCCTTAAAGAGAAGCTCAGAGAAGCCAGAGGTAAGGGGGATGGCGATGTAAGCAGCACGCGTAACAGGACAGTTCCAATGTGGCAAAGTGTTCTCTTTTGCTCCATCCTGGAAGGACCTTACTTGCACAGAGGGAGTCACCGGCAGCTGCAAACCGCACAGGAGAACCAGAGGACCAGGAAATGCCAGACAGTGGCTACTTCGGCTCAGGGGAGCTCCTTGCTGCTGTTACATTTTGTGTCCTCAGTCAAAAATAAATGGGGACGCTGCAGTGCGGCTTCTGCCTGCTAATCCACGACACCTGAAGAGCCGTGGTCCCTCCCGCTCCTCTCACTCATAACATCTGGCATTTCCCTTCATAGTGCTAAACTCCCAATCTGCATACTTTCTTCTCTGTCCCTCACACACGTGTCATATTATACAATCATACACTGAGATCACGTGAAGTTACGGACCTGAATAATCACCTATTTTCTGTGTCTGGTCTTCTTGCGTGAAGTCCACGAAATCAGGGAATGTGACCGTTTTTTCCCCACCATCATCCCCCCACTGCGTGCACCAGAGTGCCTGACAACCTAGTTATCAGACACACTTAAGAAAATTTTTTCTAATTTTTTTATACTTTTTAAAGTTTAATTTTTTTTTATTTTTGAGAGAGAGAGAGAGAGAGAGAGAGAGACTGTGTGTGTGTGTGTGTGTGTGTGTGTGTGTGTGTGTGTTCAAGTGGGGGAGGGGCGAGAGAGGGGAGACAGAGGATCTGAAGCGGGCTCTGCACCGACAGCAGAGAGTCTGATGTGGGGCTCGAACTCACGAACCGTGAGATCATGACCTGAGCCGAAGTTGGATTGTCTACCAACTGAGCCACCCAGGCGCCCCAAGAAATTTTGTAAATAAATCAATTTTGAGATGATGAAAACGACTACTCTACCACTTTGCAATGGCAGCAAGACACTCGCTGTGCTTTCTGCTCACACAAGAAGTCAGCGACTCTCTCCATCACCCGGAAGACCCGGTAGGGTGGTCCTCCCTTCACCTGGATTCAGCAGACGCCGAGAACCCTTCGGTGGGTGGGAGATGGTGGAGGTGGACCAGAAAGGGGCTTCATTGCTCTTCAACTGCTTCGGCAACATACCTTGTTGAATCAGTCCCTAGAAATTTCTAGTTGTGTTCACAGTGTCCTTTTCTACTCTGGGGCTCAAAGGCTTGTACGTACACACCTACAGGGTGTATCACGAAATTAGATGAATTACGCATTTTCAACTCACTTGGTAAGAAAGCTGGTTTTGAAAGCTTATTTCTGGATACTCAGTGGCTCTTGCCCCCTTGTAAGAAACAGCCAATACAATTCAGACACCCATTAACAGCTTTCTCTTAACTCACATCATTTCTACATTTCCATTATGTATTCTTCAAAATAAAATGATTGTTTCACCACAATTCGCACAATCAACTCATATATATTAATTCAGACCAAAAGACGCCGTTCAAATGAAAACGGTATCGTCCAGGATGGGTGGGTGTCACCTGAACCCCTCGGGCCCAGCTCTGACCATAGTTAGCATAAGATGATTCTTGTCACAGAGCCAGGCCTCGTGAGAGGGACACACACCGGTCTCCTCGAAACCCTTTACCACCAGAAACGTGAAGTTAGGCGGACCTGAAGTCAACCAAGCGTTTGTAGACCGCAATTCTAATTTAATACTGACCAAGTTTTCTAGTCAATAAGTTATAGATGAGGCAGTTCCTCCTTTATAACCAGGATTTAAAAATAGAAATATGTGAACAATTCCTCAGGTAGCATTTTCTTCATTAATAAAAGCCCATGTGGCATCCACACACTCCACCTGACTTCTGTCTTTTGTCTGTTTCTTTTTCCAATCATTATACCTTTTCGAGTCAACCTGATATTTTCCTAGCTGTATCTTCCACTTCAGAGTACATGTTTACCATTTGCCTGCTAAGAAACCTTCTATCCTGTTTTTCACAGCGGCCTCACACCCCCTAACTTCCTTAAGCATAGGCTTATTAGTGAACATGTAGGGCGTTTCCACTGTTTTCTGTTACTAAAGACATTTTGATATGTAATTTATTTCAGTCTTTTAAATTGTTTTCTTGGTATAGGTTTCCAGGAGAGAAAATACGGATCAAAGCCTGTGAACATTTTTATGGTTCTTTCTGTGCTTGGTTATTTAATTGTTTTACAAAAAGGATGAGTTGGTTTACATCACTCTAGGAATCTCTGAGTGCATCACGTTTACAAAGACCCCACCATGATTCACTTTCAGCTTTTTTTTATTATAACAAATATCAGTTAGTATCTCATGATTAATTATCAGCGGAGTTGAACATTATACATTCATTCAATAGGATTACATGAATTGTCTACTCTATTCACATTCTTTTTTTTTAATTTTTTAATGTTTATTTTTGAGAAAGAGAGAGAGAGAGAGAGAGAGAGACAGACAGAGTACAAGTGGGGGAAGGGCAGAGAGAGGGAGACACAGAATGCGAAGCAGGCTCCAGGCTCCAGGCTGTCAGCACAGAGCCTGATGTGGGGCTCGTACTCACAGACTGTGAGATCACAACCTGAGCAGAAGTCAGATGCATAACAGACTGAGCCACCCAGGCACCCCTCTATTCACATTCTTAATCCATCCTTCTATTTCCTTCCATTTTTTAAAAAGGTCTTTCCAATTGGCTCTTGGAGCCATGAAAACAAATCTCTTAACCTGATGCAAAAGCGAAAGGCCCTGGAAGCAAAGTCAGCACAAACCTAGTGTTACCTTGGAACCACATTAGCAGAAGAAGAATCCCTTCATTTCAAGGAAATGTCTGCTTGACCTACTGAGGCTTTACAGCTGAATGTATTACTGTGGATTTGAGGGCCTCACGTCATTGGGAAGTTGTAAATTTTGCTTTTCAATCACCAAATAACTCTTCAACAAACACAGCGATTGGTCATTAAGGATGAAGCAGGTAACACGTAATTCAGCATCCAACTAATGAGCAGGGAAAACCTAACCAGCTCATGAACTACATGATCAACCTGATTTAAAAACTGTCCAGCACTCACAGAAAAGTAAAGGTTAGGATAAATCGGATCCTGCATTTTCTGAAGTACTGGTGGGGGGCACACCCCACATTACTTGACATCACAGAGCAGGGCAACCCCACGGAGCACCCAGTGTTCAGGGACCTGGGCCGTCCTGAGGTCCACAGCGGCGATGTAGTTCAAGTCCGTTCGGACTGGCTTCTTGTAAATGGGACAGGAATAAAACCGAGGATCTCTTAAAGCTACAAAAAATGTCATAAAAACAAAAACAAAAACAAAACTTGGTGAATTTTTAATTTAAGCAGCCCAAACAGCACAGAGCCAAATTTGCACATTCTACAGATCATTCCAAAGGTCTGGTAGAATGAGAGAAATTCTTTCCGAGGTCAGTCAACCCCTAGATGTGAAGCAGACACAACTGCGGGTCTCCCGCAGGCATGACAAACACCCAGGAGTCTTCAGGTACCCTGCTGGCCCTTTGTCCCATGTCCTTGAAAGTAACACCTGCCCGCTTGCTATGGCCATGAACCTTCAATTGCTTCCTTCCCACCTGTCAATTCACCACGCCCCCTCCACCCTTTCTCCTTTACTTCCCCACCAAATCTTGTGCGTGCACACTCTCTCCATTTTCCCTTCATGGCTTGCCTCTGGCACGAGGCACCTGCCACCTTTAATCAATGTCCAGCACCAATGCTCACTAGGGCTTCACTATATTATGATTATTATTTCCAAATCCTGCCTTCAACGCTCTGTGCCACAGTCTAAACAACACGTGAAATCGCAGGACAGAGGATGTTCCCCACCCCTATCACGGGCTGGGGATTATCCACGGGTGCAGAGGAACAGAAGTG